AATCCGAAATTTTATTGTTCATAACTCCAAAACGGTAGATTTTATCAAAATTTCTTTGTTATTTTCGAATTAAGCATGTAAATTTACACCTAAATGTAACTATTCAGAAAAATTTTTATTAGAAACTGAGTGCGGGGATTATACTGCAAATTACCCCTTATTGCAAGTGTTGCTGATTAATTAAATTTCTAATGGAGTTTTATTGACAATCGTTAAACTTCGTATCCGAAAAAAAAAAAAAAAAAAAAAAAAATTATGTCAAAACAACGTCTTTTTTTCCTTTGACACCGCTATCATTCTACCTACCTTCACTTCACCCCACCCTTCAGTCTGTTGGTTTAAAAATCGATAATTAGAATCTTAATAAAACCCAAACTTATGAAACTGAATTTATACATTTTCTTTTTTCTTTGAGATTTTACTTACAACAAAGATATTAAAAAATATTATCTTTATTAGATTATTTATTTACAAGAATACTTTTATATTTAAAGTATTCTAAAAATGCAAACCCACTAATACAATGCGATGTCTATCACTTAATTTATAAAGAAATAAATATGAAAATATTTTTTTATTCATAAATTTATAAAAAATGTCTGTGAATAAAATTTAAATAAGCAGATAATGACAAGTAAATGTAATTATAATTTTAAAAAAAATGTATTTTCTGTATATTTCTTTCATTTCCTCTCAGAAAACATTTTAGTTATTTATAAAATCATATACAGTATAAAATGGTAAAAATAATGAATAGTTGATGGTTTACATATTTCAATAATTTTGTAATTATTTTGTTTAAATTTTTGAATAAAAAGATTTCTTTTCACATTTATTTCTTTATAAAAGGTAAATAATATCACATTTTACTTGGTTCACATATTTTTATAATTTTGTACATAAACATTGCCAAGGGAGTGAAGGTATTACAAAATAATAGTGGTGCCAAGGAAAAAGAACTTCATTTTAACACACCATTCTTTTTGAGGACACTAAGATTAAACATTGCCGACTTTTTCATCTAGTTTATATTGGGATGGCTTTTTATGTCACAAACAAATGTATCCTAAATATATGAAAAGCAATTATATATATATATATATATATTGTTATACATATATATTGTTATATGTTATAGATACAAATATTTAAGTAAATGTTCTGTTTATAATAAACAGCATTAACAACATTTACCGGCCTCAATATCTGAGAAATTTCAAAGAAAATGTGTGTCCTCCGACAGGAATCGAACCTGTATCCTACACAGAACCGCCATACAGCCTGACGTGTTATACCATTTAACTACAAAGGAAGCGTTTGAGTAGCAAAATCAAATTATTCTTTTTGAACTACAAACTTCCCATTTCTCTCGAATTCCCATATCTGCTTGAAGCGTATCTTAACGTAAACAAATGACATAATATATTATGAAATGGACTAAGTGCAACAATTATTTATAAGTTATTTTTATAGATACAAATATTTAAGTAAATGCCCTGTTTATAATAAACATTATTAACAATATTTACCGGCCTGATTGTCCGATAAATCTCAAAGAAAATATGTCCCCCGACAGAAATCGAACCTGTATCCTACACGAAACCATCATATAGCCTGACGTGCTATACCATTTAACTACGGAGGAAGTGTCTGGTTAGCAAAGTCAAATTACTGTTTTTGGTTCGATTCCTGTTGGAGGACATATTTTCTTTGAGATTTGAGTTTGTCTGAACTAAATGCAAAATTTCCTTAACAACACACCATTCTTTTTGAGGACACTAAGATTAAGGATTGCCAACTTTTTCATCTAGTTTATATTTGGATGGCTTTTTATGTCACAAACGTATCCTAAATATATGAAAAGCAATAATATATATATATATTGTTATACATATATATTGTTATATGTTATAGATACAAATATTTAAGTAAATGTTCTGTTTATAATAAACAGCATTAACAACATTTACCGGCCTCAATATCTGAGAAATTTCAAAGAAAATGTGTGTCCTCCGACAGGAATCGAACCTGTATCCTACACAGAACCGCCATACAGCCTGACGTGTTATACCATTTAACTACAAAGGAAGCGTTTGAGTAGCAAAATCAAATTATTCTTTTTGAACTACAAACTTCCCATTTCTCTCGAATTCCCATATCTGCTTGAAGCGTATCTTAACGTAAACAAATGACATAATATATTATGAAATGGACTAAGTGCAACAATTATTTATAAGTTATTTTTATAGATACAAATATTTAAGTAAATGCCCTGTTTATAATAAACATTATTAACAATATTTACCGGCCTGATTGTCCGATAAATCTCAAAGAAAATATGTCCCCCGACAGAAATTGAACCTGTATCCTACACGAAACCATCATATAGCCTGACGTGCTATACCATTTAACTACGGAGGAAGTGTCTGGTTAGCAAAGTCAAATTACTGTTTTTGGTTCGATTCCTGTTGGAGGACATATTTTCTTTGAGATTTGAGTTTGTCTGAACTAAATGCAAAATTTCCTTAACAACAACTCTCTGAAATTATAATTCTACAAGACCATAGCAACTTCAGAAAGATTTCCACAAACACTTTGCAACTCTTTCCATTTAAAAAACAGATGTAATCACTTTGAAACTTTGCTGACACATTACACTATCTACCAGGGACATTTTTAACTTCAGCTATGGCTGTTCTTATAAAATTTTTTTGCTACATAGCTTAATTTCTTTCAGCACACAAAAGAATATTTTGAGTAACCACTTCATCTCTCTTCCTCTTCAAGTAAAAATTTATTGTCAATAAACAATTTTTATTTCAATTACACATTGAGTAAGAGTTCCTTTTTAAATTGTGCACTTAAAAGTGTTGATATTTTTTATTTTGCAGATGGGAAAATCATTACAATTTATGTCAAAAGGTGGACATTTCTCTCTTGGCCAGGGATTAATCAACTACACTGACAGATCATTACAACTCAATGACTGTCACTCCTGGCCATGTTCCAGATGAAGCTTACTAATTATGTACTCTCTTGAACATGTAAAATAAACATCAATTTTTTTTTTTTTTTTACTAAGTTCATCTAAGGCCCAAGAGTCACTCTATGTAGAGTGTTACCAAATGAGGTTGCTGTATGGATGTAAGTGCAGATTATGAGGATATGTAGGATAGATAACAGTTGACTCTAGAACTGAAGCACTTAAGATTATATTGATCAGGAAATCATCCATAGTTTTCCAATCTTTCTTCAACAAAAATTACTGACAATTTTGAAATTTTACTAAACTGTTTTTCTGCCAAAATATTTTTTATTTTCTTGGATGAGAGTTTGATGAAACAAAAACAATTCTAAAGAATATATATTTTTCACTGTGTTCAATGGGTTGTGCTAGACAATTTTTCTTACCAGAATCTATCTTAGATATTTATAAGTTTACCATCCATCCACACTTCGAATATTGCTGCCACTTCTGGTTTGGTGATTATGCTATGTATTTAGAGATTCTTGATAAAATACAAAAAAGAATCTGCAATGTTATCGACCCTGACCTGGCATCTCAGAACTTCTCAATCATGCAACTCTTTTCTGGCTTCTTGCTTTCCAGTCAACTTTGATCTTCAACAATTTAAATGCAATGTCACTTGTTATCTTCTGTCGTTTGAATTCCTGTTCTTTTATAGTTCTCTCGACTTAATAATGTTTGTCTTTTCCTCATATTTTCTCATACTCAGTAACTCTTTAGTGGTTTTATTGTCTTACTTAGGGTGAAATGATTAAAAAAAAAATTCCTTGGAAAAAATAATGTGCTCTTCAGGTTAGGATTTCAATTTTGACTACATTACTAAGGGCTTTTACAATATATTTTCAAGAATAGGTTTTCTTGGGGGATGAAACATTTCTGCATTTTCTCACCAGTATCAGAAACCAGAGTTCAAGTCAAGGTAATTGCCAGTATTTCAAATACCAATTCTCTAGACATGAGACACCCTTTAGTTACAAGAGACATAACCTTTTTATATCCATTTCAGCTTGTGTCATACAAAGGTTATTAACTCATTATTGCTCATTTTTGGCTAGTATTTACTTTCATCTTCAGTTTTCATTAGTTTAAATTAATTTAAATTAATAATAGTTGATAATGCTTTACATTATCAACCATTATTAAATTTTAACTAGTATTTGTTTTCCTCTTCAGAGCTTATCCCCCACATAGCTGTGCCAGTTTTGCCAAGTCATTAAGTGGTGCTATTAAGCACCTATAAAAACAGGACCCTTCTTGTCTTCCTTCTCTCTCTTTTCCATTCAGTATGCTCTAGTGATGACATCCACAAGGCCTTGTTCCAAAGCAAGATGATATTTTTTCTCCCGGTGACTGAAGTTTATTCACACATATACACATATATCACCCACATAATTGTTATCTTTTAATGTTATTTTTCTTTTCTGCATGCATACTTGTGTATTTTCTCTCATCACTCAGTTATATAAAAACAAAATATAAAATATCACCTTATTGAAATTGGCTTCTATTTCATTATACCTGTCATTTCCATATGCAAATATCATTGCCACTGCTTTTAGTTTAACTAGGAGTGGTGTTGTAACATTATGCTGACCATTGATATGATTTGAACATACACATACTGCGACAAGATGAAAAATTGTAAATCATTATTAATGTTTGATGCATATTTACTTTCATCATATTTTAATTGATGAAGCATTGTCATCCATTATTAAGCTTTGACAAGTATTTCATCTTCGGTTTTTTTTTATTAGATGAAGCAATGTCAGCTATAATTATTAATTTTTCAGGAATTGTTTCTAAAAGCATTTGAAAAACAAAAAGAATCAACAAAATTTATCGAATATAATATTTAATCATTTTGACAGCAGAAAATGACAATAAAAAGGTGGAGAGGGTGATGTGAATGAATCACGTGGTTTTGAAAACCTTCTTCAGGAAATATTGGTACTTTCCACAATCGTCCAACTGAAGCATTTCTTGGGCAGCCAATGGCAGAGCAAGGGAAGCTATACTGTCATCGTCATACTTTTTGTTTTTTTGCAAAATACGAATTATTTGCAGACGGCAAAGATGTGACAGTGAACTGTTTTTTTCTACAGAAAAAGAAAATAAAAAAGAAATTATAAAATATAAAATAAAACATCACCAAACATTCAAGTAACAGGTTATTCAATATGAACCTCTTGATTTAGGTGAAATAATTATGTGGATTCATGCTCTTAGGAAGTATAACTGAACATTTAAGCAAAGGCAATAATGTTGAACTTTTTCATTCTATCCGACAGTTAATTGTTGGTTTATTTCAATATATTAGGTTAAGTCATAAGTCATTTGATTTTTGTTTTTTTTTGGCAATCAATTGCAATGACAAATGTGTCATTCTAACTAACCAGTCCATAAATATATCAAAAGAGGTGATAAAAAATAGGTTACACAAATGTTTTAATGAATAGTGTTTCCCACCCCTTCCTATACATTTATTCCACAAGAAATTCTAGAAAATTGTCAATTCTCTCCTGAAAAAAATCATTATTCAAAGAACCTGTTAATTTATTGAAGGCTTCTTCCGATGTTCTTGTTTCTAAAAAAAAAAAAAAAAATAGACAGCATTGAAACTCTCTACTCAAAAAAGTATAAATATATTGTGTCCAAAAATAAGTCTATTTCCTTTTATAAAGGGTGTTCCAATAATTTGAACCGATTTTAAATGTGATTAAGTTTAAACATCTAATGGTTTTTTTGTTTTTCTTTCAGATATGGTGGACATTTGGGCGATATTATTTTTCACACATAATTGTCATGACTTAAATAACATGATCCAATAGAGAAATAAGTAAATTTTCACCAATAACACGGCTTTATTTACTGCTGATTTTGATCCGTCTTAATGAAACACCCTTTATAAGTATGTCATCAAACCAAACTGTTTATTTTTCCTTGTAGGGGATTTGAATATTAACAAGCTTGTGTAAATGTTTGGCAGAACAGGGATTAAGAGAGACAGCAAAAAGACAAATCTTACTAAGAGCAACAAAGTACAAAAAGTTGTGGAGAACCATCATGGCCCACGTCCTGAAGGGACACGGCACAAGTGCACACGTATTTGATACCACCTAAACAAGTATGATGCAAGGGAGATAATTCAATGGTTGCCATTCATCTAAAATAAATACTAAGATGACAAAGGGCATCATGTTATAATTGGCCATATCAGATTGAAACACAGGTTCTCGTAGGATCACCATCGTTAAGTACTAAGCCTAGTCCGTATCATGATAGGTGACTGGATGGGAATACCAGGTGCTGTAAGGTGCGGATAGTACAGGATGCAGCAATATGATCTGTTATATTTGTAGGTTTAATAAAGGTAAAATAGAGTAAAGAATGAAAAATGTGTTTTTATATTCGAAATGTACTTATGATGCCATTTTGTTTTATTTCGTTTTCAGTTGTCACTATGAATTTGATGGGCAAATATCACACTTTCGTTGTGGAAACGTTTATCAAGAACAACGGATCAGTAACTGCAACACAAAAGAGCATTGGTTCACCTGATCATCTGATTAGTGTATCCCCACAGAAAAAAATGGTTCAAATTTTGAGATATATTATATATATATATATATATATATATATATATATATATATATATATATATATATTGTTCAAAGTAACTCCTACCATTTTACAATCCCCTTTGTCAGCATAGACCTTGTTCTGCCTGTAACATTGTCAATATATCCTCTGTAGCTCGTTAGTTTTGGTCATGGTTTCACAGTGGAATGCATAAGCTCTTTTTCAGACCAATATCCTAAAGTCACACCATTTTCATGTCTCACTAAAAAAAATTGAGAGACATTTTTTGTCAGGTGTAAGATTTGCTTTTAACAGAAAATGGCACAATACGTGAAATTTATATAAGCAAAATTATATTGTCTCCAGCAGGGAAATGTTGCTGACCACAAATCAGTGACGGACACAATGAGTGAGGGAACTTCTATACTCCAGCCTTTTTTTAGACCATCTGCTTTTATATATATATATATATATATATATATATATATATATATAGAGAGAGAGAGAGAGAGACCCCCCCCTCCACCAGGTGGGTTTATTAATCAACAGTTCTAAAGGATTGGGATGAAGGTACTAATTAGTTGGGTAGAAGGGATTCCGGAGTAATTCCAGAAATAAGTTTTTCTTTTTTTTTTTAATTGTTTCTGGTGTTGAGTTATTAGGTGAATTAATTTCAGAGTGATTAATGGACGGGTTCGTTAAGTAAAGCTTGTGATAAATGGTGAATTGGATTTTGGGTGGTCTGCAGGGCGAAATCAAGCCAAAGTCCGTAGACGAGATAAGTGTTTTCACAAGGCTTAAGTGGATGATGTCTGCGGAAAACCCAGCAGGGAATCCAAATTCATTTTTGGTACCACTTGAGAACTGGTTGCCCACAGAGATTCAGAGGAAGCACATGGTAGTCAAGGCGATTTGCATATTAAAATTTGTGGGCGGTGCCTAAAAATTGTTTAGCTCTGCTCCACTCTATATAAGCCGTCTGCACGCTTGAGTTAAACAGAATGTGGACACAGAGCGGAGAGAAGCGTTGGAAAAAGGCTTGGTGGATTTTGCTGGTCTGGTCTGTTGGCTGTCCTGCGTCAAGAAGACCGATCCAAACCAAGAGATAGAAATAGAACCCGAACGAATCCAGATAACTTCGTCAACAAAGCTGTGAGAAAGCAGACTGCTATATCATAGGGTGCAGACGAAAATCCACAAATTACCTCCGTTAGATCAGCTGAATTCCTATCAGCATAATAATCGTCTTTCTCTCTCTGTGACTTTCCGACCCAAACAAGTGAATCTCGTTAAGACACTTTGTATTCGTGCAATTTCTTTGGTAGTAACATAAAAGCAGTAGCCTTAAAAGGCTCTTGTACAGGAACCGAAAGATTTGCTTATTTTTTATGTCCTTGCGATTACGACAAGAACTTCTTTTGCATGAATAGTGATTCCTTTCAGCATAGAACCCAGCCATTTTATCCTTTACCACTGGACCATTCTGAAGGATCGGGACACTGCTGTTCGGATCAAAAACTCACAACGTGGCGAATAGTGGTAGTTCCTTCAGCTCACCGGAGGAGGACCAGGTGGTTTTCTTTTAGTGGCCAGAACCACTGGGAAGACAGGACATAGCTGCTGGCGACAGGGCTTTTATGTTAGATTGCAACCAAACCAAAAATATAGTTAGAGTAAGGAACTCATTTTCTTACCCAAGAATCTCGCCTTCTTGCTCATTCCTGATTAGTCAATTCAAAAGACCAATGAAAAAAAAACTTCACCATGTCCTGCTTGTGGGACTTGTGACTGCCCACCTAGCGCTGTCAGATATTTTGTATTTTTGAAATACAATATATTTCCAACAACCTGTGTGGCTATTTATTAGTTGGTAATGTTTTTTTATTTCTTATCCTCAACATTATTTTTTCTTTATTCTACCCCCACAGGTCATCCATTCAACCAAATTCATCAAATAGGTTATTTAAGATTTCCCCTTTCTTCTCTTACTTTTAATATGACCTGTGAGTGCTAAATTCTCCAAGCCTTTTTTACTCATTAGGTAGAAAATCACCATTGCCATAAAGAAGATTAGATATTAGATACCACTTCAAAACTGATTTCTTTGTTTCAAATGACATTTTTCTATCTTTTAATATTCTGTTTAACATCCCCAATATGTAACTCTGCCTCTTTTGTTGACAACCATGTATTTTATTTTCTTACAAATAATAGTTCTTTCTTTTTGCTTTGTGATGTCTATCTCTTCTAATAACTTGCAGCAGGTTTTATTGTGTTACCTGGTATCAGAAGCAATGTGTATTTCTTGACCCATGCAGAACTTATCAAAAAACTGAAACCAACCAAATTTTATGTACAAAATATCAGGTGGGTCATGTAAGAGTCGTCATATTAAATTTAGCCTCAGCTCTAAAAGTTATAATTCAACACTCAAATTTTGCGGGGGATCATGTCATCAATTATCAATGGGCTGCCATAAAGAAATAAAATAAAAAAGGAACGTTGTATTTTTAGAACTACTTACCATTAGTCTGTTTGAGCTTGGTCCATTCATTTTTGCTGACGTATTTTGCTAGTGACTCGTTCAAGCAGAGGAAAGAGCCTCCCATGAATAAAAGAACATTCAGGATTGTATCAAAATATTGCTCATTAAGTTGATGATTCTCAAACAAAGAAGAAATGTTCTGGCAAGGCTCATCTCCAAATGGCTGACTCTCATTCAGTAGACATGACCTGACATCGGCGCCATGCCGAAGTACCTGCTGCAAAAACGGTCCATCAAAATTTGGTAACGTGATGTCCTGACTCGTGAGATCATTATCAAGTGCAAAGAGAACACAACAGTTGCCTGAAATGTGAGGGTGGTAGACATTTGGGCAGGCACCATACTCCCAAAACAGTTCGAAAAAATCAAGACGTTTCGACTTCAAAACTGATAACATCGGTGGCATCAAGCCATTACGGAAATCATTCACTTCAAACCCATACTCAAGCAGTGTTTTCACAGTATCAAACATCATCGTTCGCGATGTGGCATGTGAAAGAAGTGGTGCCTTCTCCCAGAAATTCTGGTGGCGCCAATTCTCATACGATACAGTCATGTCTCTTGTGGGATCTTCAGTTAGTAAATATCGCAGAACGTCTGTGGTGGCAAGGTCAAGTGCCAGGCAAACAGGTTGCCATTCTGATGAACAATTTTCCTTGATTCTTTCCAAATCTGTAACCTTGTATAAAAGTCTTACACAGCTGGAGGAAAAAAAAAAAAAAAAAAAAAAAAAAAAAGAAGAAATGTTAGAGAAAAATAATAATTTATACAAAAGATTTTAGGGAAAAAAAAAATAAGCAATTTCAAAAATCTCTTGATTACTCACACTGAAATATGTTATCAGATTTAATTATAACTGCACAAGAAAGGTAACTTTCTAATTATTTGTAATTGTTTATTTGCAAAAGAAGACATATAATGTAGCTTCCCTGTGCCTTTTCTATAAATATTTTTATGGTAATTTGTTCTGATGAACTTTAACCATCCCATCCCTGGCATAGACATGTATATATTTTTTTACCAAAAATGTCTTTTTTTAGACACGTACAAATAAACACGTTCAAAAACCAGCTACAGACGTTTTTTTTTTTATATGGCAATCTTGATTCTTTTTATGCACTTCCGAGCTTGAAACAATTTCAGTTGTCAACTCACGCATCTGGTAGAGGTGTTAGCCACCACTCAGGTACTTCAGTTTCTTAGTTACTATATTAATAACAAAGAAAAAAATTTGTCTAAAAATGAAACATTTTTCCCAAAATAATCGTCGAGAAAGGTGTTAACTTTTATATATAAATTTAAGTGCAGTACTACATTGGCAGCTAGGTCTCATCCTTTTGAAATTGCTAGAGGCAGTCATAAGTTCTATGCTAACAGTTCCTTCTCCCGCACTTCTCGCTTGTGGAACTCTCTTCTGGCTTCTTGCCTTTTCAGTCAAATTTGATCTTCAAAAATTTAAATGCAATATCAATCTTTATCTTCTGTCTCCTTAATTCCTGTTCGTTTATTGTTCTCTCTCCTTAATAATGTTTCTTTTTCTCACATTTTTTCACACTCGGTAAAATCTTGCACCATAGAGATGTTATTGCATTGCTTGGGGTGAAATGATTAAAAAAAAGATGCGTGTGTATTCATATACACATAAAGGAATGCTGAAAAATTCTTAGTCCTGGGCAAGAAGCCCTTAAAAAATCTCATTTTTGGTTATCTGGCAGTTAAACAGCCTGATAATTTTTCACCATCCATTCATGTGTGTGGTTTTATATATATATATATATATATATATATATATATATATATATATATATATATAAGAATGACAATTGGAAAAATCTTACTTTTTGCCAATGTGTTTTGTCTTCCAACTTTATCAAGGCAAACAATGAAAGCAAAATGTTTTTGTAGTCATAGTTACATTTAATCCAAAATTTAAAAAAGAGAGACGCTCATGTGTAAGCCTCTTTCTGGCTAATGGTAACTTCCTTTATACTAAGAGCATTATATTAAAATGAAACAGACAGATCTTGTCAACTGAATTTCATAAAAATTGTTTGAATGAATTGTTGCTCTATTTGTCTTTATATATAGCCAGGTAGTTTAAAGCATCATTTAAAAAATTTTGCCATCCAAATGGAGTGCCAACTGCAGAAAGGTTTTAACATTATACCTGTGCAATGATGTACAGGTCACTAGCTGGATTGAAAAGCAATTGTCTGTTGATTTTCTCATTTTTGTTATTTTTATATTAAGTTAAAAAATTTATGTGCTTTTTTTTTTTTTTTTTTTTTATTGGTGATAGATTGATTTTTCTTCTTTGTGTGCATATGTGCATATGCCTGTACATGTGCAAGTTGCCATGGTTATTTATTATAATGAAACAAACTAAGCGTATGTATATATTTTGGAGACATGCCCAGTGTGTAGTCTTGAGGAGTGTTAGTGAAAAATAGTAAATAAATATAAGGTTAGAGTGAAAAAAGTGAGTTTTCCTACAATGTTTCCTTAGAAAACTGCAAGAACATTAGGAAAAAAGCTGCCAAATTTTCCTTTGCTTCTTACCTGAGTTTGTTACACACAATGGCAGTTTGCAGAGCGCATATTGGAATGGAATCCAGGGTGAAGATGTTGGGATTGGCTTTGTAGGAGAGGAGCAACTCCACACACTTATAATGTCCCTCCTGTGCTGCTGCTAGCAAGGGAGTGGCTCCATCAAAGGCTGCGACATCACCTAGAGCCCCAAAATCTGATAATAGCAAAACAAACAAAATCACATTAATGTAATTGTCCTCTTTCCTAAGTACACAACTATAGCATAGTACTTCACCTAACCTATCCCAAGATTTACTTTTCACAGTTTTCAATTACCCAAGGTCAACCCCAGAAGCCATTAATAATACTTAATAATGGCTTCTAAGCATACAGGTAATGATAATGTCATTTTAGATAATTTTTTTATACTGAAGGCTTACCCAATACAAGGCTCAAGAGCCACTCATAGTAGAACATTATTTAAGAGGAGGTAGGTGGTGGTAGAAGATTATGCAGATAAAGAGGATAGATATGAGCCATGACATGAGGAGGTTAAAATTGTAGACTTCAGGGAAACATCATTGTGGTAGTTTGTTCTACAGAGTAGCAATTCTCAGCAGGGAAAAGTTGAGTGGAACCGCCTTACTTGTAGAACACAAGAGGAAAATGAGAGGGACTTAACTCAATGGAAGTGGTATGGTGTACTGAAAAGAAATGAATTGGTAGAACTACAGAACGGAGATCATCTGAATTTTCCATGGAAATAGAAATACAGTAGTAAAAATTTTGTTTACCGTGTTATGCTTGCCCAGTGATTCTCAACCAGCATACTTAAGAGGATCCTTTTAAATGTACTGCAAAATACTGTCATTTCTAGTGATCAAGGGCTCAAAATAAAACATTCGACGGTATCCATTGATACATTTTGGATTTCAATACAAAAGGAATATCCCACATTAGCTAAAAAGTTTTATTGTACTTTTCTACTTATTTATGCGAATTAGGCTTCTCAACTCTAAATAACATAAAGGAAAAATAGTGGATTGGTTTCCCATTGCCCTCTCCACAATTTGGAATTCAGAGTTTCTTTTCTTCAGGACTTGGTGATCATGGCTCGCTACAGATTCTTTTTCATCATTATCTATGAATCATCATAACTTCTTGGGAAAGATAGTGGACTGGTTTCATATTACCCTTTTCACAATTTGGAATTCAAAGTACTCCTCCTCTTAGACTTGTTCCACTAAAGACTAGAGATTCAAGTCTTTCATGTTATTTAAGCTATAGCTACAGAAAAATTCGCAAATTCCTAAGGGCATTTGTGTAAAAGTGAATGCAACAGACTAAAAGAGAACTTGAATTCACCTTGCCGATTCTACTTCCCACACTGATAACTGCTATGCTACCCACACATCCCAGGTAGGAAATGGGGGGGGGGTAATGCCTAAATTGAGTCAATGGAATTTGCTAGCCTCAGAGAGTAGATCCATCTAAGAGAAGGAAAACTCTGATTTTAAAGCTCTGCTGCCTTGTGGCCATAACCAATCATGAGAAAGACTTTGGGAGTGAACCCAGAGGACGAAATCTAGAACCAGAGTTCCAAAGGCAGTCAGAGTTTGCATTTGACTTCATTCCGACAAATCTTGTGACAACACTGGTGGCAAGCAGTACTGGCCTTTGCTTGCTCCCTTAGACAACACTGGCAGCATGGAGAGAAGAAATGTGCTGCATGATTGACTGTCAAACTCCCATTAAAAATTCATGCCCAGACATGCATTCAGTAGAGGACACTCAACATACTATATTACCACCACCAGTTAACAAAAATATATATATATATATATATATATATATATATATATATGTGAAAATATATAGAAAATAGGAAAGAACTGGTTAGGTAAATAATCCAAAGTTCCTTAGTATTTTAGTTATTATTTTTAAAAAATAGTGCTCGATACAAAAGTAGAGCATAAATATAATTATTTATTTAAAAATATGATTCCAACTCGCGACATAAGAGGTCTCATGTTTCAAAACAAGAGCCGAAAACTTCAATTATTTGAATTAAATTGAGTTAAAGTAAGCGCTGTTCCATCTTCAAGCGAAATTTTTTTTCCAAAAAAAATTTCGCTTACTTTAACTCAATTTAATTCAAATAATTATATTGAAGTTTTCAGCTATTGTTTTGAAACATGTTATGTTTTGTTATGTCGTGAGTTGGAATCATATTTTTAAATAAATAATTATATATATATATATATATATATATATCCTCATGGTATCCATCAACTTTGAGAGGCTGATGAATATCACACTATATAAAAAAATGTCTACAATGCACTGTTTTGGGCTCTCTTGAATAATTATTGCTTCCAGTTGATTTGGTTTGGTTTGTTTTGTTTTATGGCATATCAACCTCAATGGGTTATTTAATGCCGACAAAATTTTCACTGTTGGTAATATTTTTATCCAAAAATCTATTTCTGGTAATATATTTTTATCCAAAAATCTATTTCTGGTAATATATTTTTATACAAAAATCTATTTCTGGTAATATATTTTTCTTCAAAAATCTATTTCTGGTAATATATTTTTCTTCAAAAATCTATTTCTGGTAATAATTTTTTTTTCTGGTATTAAAACCTATTTTTACACTTTAATAGTGTTTTGACCCCAGTTTGGGGCTAACTATTTACCCATAGCTGTGACCCTAACAGCTGCTACCACAGTGGGTCAGGATGGACCTGGGAACACCAGCAATTAAGACATTACCACACTCCTCAAAACCTCCTGATCAAAGGCCTTGCTGTTGGACGTAGTTTATCGTCTTACCCAGGATGCGGATGTAGTTTATTGTCATACCTAGGACGGGCTTCCAGTTGAGCATAAATGCAGACCCCACAATGTTATATAACTGCAAATCATTTGGGTTAGTTTTGCATTTATAATGTTAGTCCCTTTTAAGGGTATCTTAATTCAGTAGTGCCTATGGCTACAGTACACCATTTTGGTGACACTGTGGTTACAGATAGACATACAAAACCATCGTTTTAATATCATATAGATGACCATTCGTACTCATTTAATAAGAATCAAATTTCTTCTCACAAACACACAGAGCAGGAGTAAAGAAACGCCGCCTCTAACCTGATTCAGTAGATTTTTCCAGTAATATTTTCAGGCATTCAAAATGTCCCTTTTGGGCAGCCAAAAATATAGGTGTTAAGTGGTTTTCATCGACAACATCAAATCTGGCGCCACATTTCAACAAACAGACGAGGATTCGTATTTCATTCATCTCAACGGCCTGATGTAGTGCCGTTGTCTGAGTGAATGTGACAGCTTCCAAGTTGGCGTTTTTCTCAATAAGCAATTTCACGCATTGGTACGAGCGAGCATTGACAGCTGCAAAAAAAAAAAAAAAAAAAAAAAAAATATCTAATAGTAATAATAATAAATTATCCCCCCATCCCCTTTGATCGTAATTTTAGAGGCACTAGTAGCCTAACAGTTCATGACATGTAGAATAGAATCGGTAAACCAAGGCCAAAATCTAAGCCGGAACAGTTTGCGTTCAGCATTCATTAAAAGTCATGGTAATGTTAAAATTAATGGTAAAGGTGAAATTAAACTTTTCCTTATAAGGTAACATTCAACATTTGTTGATCAAATTGTGTTACAGTTGGTTGAAATTTAGAGAATCTTTTCCTTAAAATAGTTTTTCAGGAAATTAGATTTTTCAAGTCCACTGTTATATCTCTTTCAAATATTGATGGGAGTTTCCTTCCAAACCTTATGTAGTATTTCTGTATTATGTATAAAGAACACTCATGGCTAACAAGTATTATAGCAAAGATAAATTAGTCAGAGTGATGGTCATGGGTTCAATACCTGTGTTAGCCAGTGAAAGTTTTCTCTGTTTTAAATAATAATATATAATGATTATATTAAAATTTATTATTTTAAATTTATACTGTAAACAAATAAAATATTAGTAATAAAATATAATCAAATATTGTAGCAAAAATATTAAAAATATAATAAGAAAATGAAAAATTCCAATAAATAAAGTAAAATAATAATAATAATAATAATAATGAGCATCATTCTAATAGAAAGGATGAGCAAACTTTTTTGTCATTGAGCTGTGATTAAATTAAAGGCAATACATTTGTGTGACAGTGAATGAAATAGACTAGAATACACACAGTTGGTTGATTGAGTGATTTGTTTTTAACAGCTTATCAACCCTTTGCAGGTTAATTAAAGCCAGAAAATATATTTTTAGATTGTAAGAATTTTTTTGAAATGACAATGGTTTTAGTGATACAAGTCTTACAAATTAACCCATAGCTGAGGGGAGAAGATGTGGATTCATACCTTTCCCATTGTGCATAAGTGACTAAAACGAACACAACGGGAACTGGAACTAAGCTCTCCAAGTTACAATTCTGAGTCATTATCTATTACACCACCCACACATCCAACCTTACAGTACCCAGTATTCGCAGGCAGGGTTTTATGACAGATTGGCAGTTGCCCTTGCAGCACATGTTCCCTTTCCATGCCACCAATGTTTTTCAAGGGAAAAGCAGATGACAATACAGCTTAGCACTGGTAGCATCGCAGGAGTTGTCAGAATGAAGCTGAACTTCCAGTTTGAGATTTGTCTTCAGAGTTTGCTCTGAGGACAAATCCCATTTGGCCTTTCCCATGATTGAGTATGGCCACAAGGCAGTGAATGTTTAAAATCAGAGTTTTCCTTCACAAACATCACACTCAAAATAAATAAACAACATTAAAGCACTTATTTTTAAACTTGTTGTTATGGAGTGATTTCACAGTGGAGGCTTGTATTTGTACTAAGTCAGTCCTAAAATAGGTTCGACGTACAAAACGTTAGAAACTTGATATAATAGGTATAACGCAGAGTAATCTAGTTGTGGTCGCTGATGCTTTAGTATTCGACTAACTGTCGTCCGACATCGACTGACTGACCAACTCACTGAGCAACTGACTCGTTACTCTTACTACTCCTACTTATTATAGGTGGGACAATCTATTAACTATAGAATAGGTGGTGTGTTCCACTATAACACTTGTGCATGAAACCTGATGGCCTATTGACTTAAATTTAGATATTTAAGTCCTATTTAAACATAGTCTAACTCAGTCATGGGCAAACTGTGGCCCGTGGATCACATGCAGCCCAATTGGCATTCTAAATGACATGCCTAATTTCATGAGGAAAATATTGTTTATTAAAATGTTGTTTGTTTCCTTTCATTCTCACTTGTTCACTCACACACTCTCTCATACATAACCACAGACATAAACAATGATCAAGTACAATGTTTCCTGAATTTTACAACTTTTTGTTGAAGGTAACATAGTCAGCATTTTAAACCATTGGTGATTTTCACTAAGGAAGATCATAAGTGTAAACACTTTTTGTTTCAGAAACAGGAAATGTTAATGATAATTATTTTTTCTGTAGAGAATAAATATACTTCTTTTAAAAATATGTTTTTGCGCCGTTAAATGAATAAATTAGAAACAAATCCCACACATCAGCGTGTGTTAATCACTCTGTCATCAGTGATAATATTTAGTTTTTTTAATTATAGGAGGAATCTTTTCTCTAAAGAAAAGAAAAAAATCAACTTTTCCTCATTTCTAAGGCAAATGCTTATGCACATGATCTTTTGTTGTGAAAATGTCTGTGGTATCTTTAACGAAAAATTACCTTTTTAGTAATGTGGCCCACCTTATGATGAGCTGTCTCATGCAGCCTACTGCCCGAAAAAGTTTGCCAATGCTTGATCTAACTCCTTCATTTATCTTGAAATGTGAAAAATATTAAGATCTAATGGGAAAAACTAATTTTGATCTAACAAAGAGAAGATTATATTTTTATGTCAGTTTTTATTTTAAAAAAAAGCTTCAATGAACAAACAATATTTATGCATTATATTTTCTGATTGTAAACTAAACTGAAAATAGAAAGGAGAATTTAGAAAAATGATAAATAAGCTTTGAAATTTCAGTCACAATACAAGGGAGGTAATTGTAGGTAAAATTTTTCTGTTTTTGAATAATTGGAATGCGTTAATATAATTGATATAATAAATAAATGTATAGAAAACAAATTCAAGTCTGATAAAAATTACTCTGGCCATGAAAATTAATGAAGAACATTTGTGTAAAATTATTCAAGGTGATTTAATGAAAATATCTCAATAAAAAATAAAGTTGGTATTTTTATAAAAATTACAGAAGAATCTTTCTATTGTGTTTGTATTTATTCATTTTAACAATTTTTATATTTTAGTTTTCTTAATTTATTTCCTAAACAATTTAATGGTGTTTTATTCTGCCACTAACAAACACTGAAGATAAAGTTAAAAAAAAACAAAACATTCTGATTTTAGAATGGCTTAAAAATTTTTCATAACAATTAAAGTTTCTTTGACAGATGTTTCTGGAATGATAGTAAAAATTGTTGGTCTGGAACTCTGGTTCAAATGACTGAGCTCAATCTTTATGATGCATATGGCACAATAGGTCACCCACAAGATGTGAGGCTTATCAGAGTCTGAAGTGTTCAGTGTTTTTTATGGCCGGAATATAAATTTTTTGACGTTTAGTGTTTAAAGTAGCAACCCATTTGAAAGAAAGGGAAGAAAATAAATCCATATAGGGAAACTTGCAGGGTTAAAGTGACATTTAGATAGAGTTCAGAATCTTCCATCTGATGTATAAGCAGAGTCCCAGTTACAGTAAGTCAAAGAGAAGAGCCAACCATCCAAGCAGTCACATTGCTAGAAGTAAGAAGACGCAAGGGGAACTTTGTGTCATGTACATACCCACTGAGAAAGAGATAGGTCCAAATTAAATAGTAAATAAAATAGCAAATTATTAAAAACAAAATTTGTGTTTGCTTTTCTTTTTGCCATAACGTTGATTTCATCTTCTGTTCCATTATGAACGTGCAATGAACCTTTCTCAGGTTTGTGCATACAATGTGAACAAAGAGTCGGTTCATTATGTTGAGTTTGACAATTTTTTTCACCAGAATGTATCCCACACATTTATAAGTCTACAATTCATCCATGTATTGAATATTGGTAATTCTGCAACCTCTCCAGAGATTCTTAACAAAAACCAAAGAATCACCATGGTTATCGGTCCTAACTTGACTGTTTTGTCTTAATCACTTCCCCACTACTATAACATAGCTTCCTTGTGACATTTCTATAAATATTTTCATGGTAATTCTTCTGATAAATTTTTAACTTTGGTACCTTGACTACATGAATTTGATTGCAGTACTAGATTGGCAGATAGATCTCATAATTTCACTGTGGAAATTGCTTTGTAGCTGTAAACTTTATTCTAAGAGTTTCTTCTCCTGCTCTTCTTCCTTGCAGAATTCTCGCCCTGCATTCTGCTTTCTTCTCAAGTATAAGCTTTTAGAAATTCAAATGCAATGCCAATCGTCATCTTATGTCTTCTTGAATCCTGTTTTTTTTTTTTTTTTTGTTCATTCTGTTTATTTCACTCTCAGTAAGATTTTATTGCCTTGTTTGGGGTGAAATGATAAAAAGAAAAGGAAAAGTGAAATATAACATGAGATTTGATTTGTCGAGTTGGTGAAAAACACACACCCTCTGTTGTATGCTTATGAATGTATCATTGTCATTGATTGATCATCATGTTTGTCTCAAATATACAATTCACATGGAAGATAACTTTTATAATTTTGAGATGAATTGTTTTAAGATATAGAATACTGAATCCTATTTTCTTATAATCAAGACTAACGTAAGCCTCTGCCTTCGGTAAATTGGATACAGTTGATATTTTCAGGCACAACATTACATATTTGATATTATGTCAAATACAATATTTGCTGCTCTTTTCAACAGGAAGATTATAAAAATAATTCTCAAATAAACCTCTTCTCTCTACAATAAATAAAAAACTATTTGTATCAGGTTATAATTATCTACCAAATGTTAACCATTTCATAATATACATTTTTTTAAGTAAACTTTAAGCATCTGTCTATATTTCTGAGATGAAGTATTATGTACACTATTTACATTATTCGAACTATTGTCCTCATCTTTGTCACCATATTTATCACCTTTCAGTGTCTGTCTATATTTCTGAGATGAGGTATTATGTACACTATTTACATTATTCAGACTATTGTCCTCATCTTGTTCGCCATATTTATTACGTTTCAGCCGTTTTATGCTCCGGCCTTCTTCAGGTGTGTACACTATCTTGTGCAACTGTTGAAAGAAATATAAAGGGGAGACAGGCCGCCCCTTAAGGTAAGGCTTCAAGAACACCAGAAAGCTGTAACATGAGGGAAAATGGAAAAATCAGGCGTGGTT